CGCCCAACCTGCTGTGACATAGAAAAGTTTCAGCACATCATGGGAGCTCGAATGGCAAACGAAGTTGCAAGTTTGGGTCGATCAAATACAGGCGCGCGTGGGAGAAACTTGGCATATTTCATTGAGGAGATATATACGGCGAGCAAGTGATTGTAGTCACCTTGCAGTGTGCGTTCTCATGAGTGGTATTAGCGGACGCAGGTCTTGGTCATGAGCCGATTAGGCATGACGATAGTTATAGTGCAAGAACAAAACGACGACACAGAGACAAGAAGGGCACGAAGGACACGAGCGCTCGTGTTTTTCGTGTCCTTCTTGTCTCTGTGTCGTCGTTTTATTCTCGCGCTATAACTATCGTCATGCCATACCAATTAGCCTAAGCTGCCACACTTCTAAGTTACCAATTAGGCGGCTTCATCCGCGTGGTCATTGCCGACAATTCTGCAATGACTTCTTAACCATTCAAATACAATGTCGTGACCTTCCTCGAGCGCTTCGTGGTAGTCGTACCTTATCCGATATACCCGTGCTGCATAACAAACTGTAGTGCCTGTAAGGCTGACCTCCATTCACAAAAGATGGTCCGTTGAATAGGCTGCTGCCGAATAATGTAGTTGACTGCACCTTGAGGCGCTGTGAGCTCTGCTGCTGTCGACGTGGTGGTGTGAGAACACTTGTACTGAAGCAACACATTACCAGATGGAACAACCACTGCTTCTGTAGAGCTGTAGGAATAAGTGGAGCCATCGGCGTAAACATGTATGTGGTCAAAGTACCTTCTGTACTTGTCAATTGCTTCAGGGCTAGCGGTGACATGCATGCCTTCTTAACGATACCTGGAACCGATAATCGCACGTCAGGTTGACGGAGACTTCATAACGTAGCTGCTGAACGCATCGCAAGTTTGAGCCAGGCGGTAATGTGTCCTGATGTTTCGTCACAATACCGCAGAACGAAGAATGGGGCTTCTTTGCTGTGAAACACACTAAATGATGTGATGGAAGCCGTGATAAATTCTGAATGTGAGCTCTCAGCGTCTCGACAAAGATACGCGTCGTGACCGGCTGTTCTTGTGCGATAAAAATAGTCGCCACTGTCGATGAGCATCTTGGAAGACCAAGACCGGTACGAAGTACTTGGGCTTGTACGCTCTGCAGTGCACGAATGTTTTTCTTGCACGTGCTGGACAGAGCAGGAAGGCTGTACTGGAAAAGTTCTAGAAAGAGGGCTGTATGAAACTGTAGCATGCATTGCATAGAAGGGCCCCATGATTTACCGGCAACTAAATTGAATACATTCTCAATGCAAATGCGCATTTTCTTCACGTATGCGACATGTTGAGCTCCAGTTTAGGTCACGATCTACAATGACACTGAAAAATTTATGACTGCTCTTATATGCGATTGATCTGCCATCGATGCACGATGGGTGGAAAGGCATCGGTTTACGTGTAAATGCCACCGCTAAGCATGCTTCTGTGGCGATCGTCAAACCTTGCTGGCAAAGGTATGCCGATGTCATTGTTCCCGCTTTCTCTATCCTTGCGCGCACTTGAGGCTGTGTCATGCCAGATGTCTAAATGCAGATATCAGCAGCATAAAAAGATATATAAGCCATCTGTGGCAGCATTTCGTTGAGCCCCACCAGAACCAGCTTGAAAAAATTGGACTCGAAACGCCGCCTTGTGGCACCCTACGATTTGTGAATTGCTTATACGAAGACAAACATTCAGTTAGAACGAACATGTATCGATTTGTGAGGTTGCTTCTTGCCAATCGAAAGATACGACTATCAAGTTCAGCTGCTTCGAGAGCATTAAGAACAGCCTCGTGGGTCACGTTGTCATGGGCACCTTTCACGTCTAAGAAAAGAGCTACCAACAGCCGCTTCTTAGATTTCTGTTGCTGAACAGAGGTCACTAAGCCAATGCATGACGCTATCAATTGGAGAACGACCTCGTCGAAAGCCAGCCATATCATCAATAGATGTTTTAATGTTACAGGTACCGATCCATGCGTGTAAGCTACATCCTCCCCATGTCCTTGCCGTCGCAGCTTGCTAGTGCTATATGTTGGTATGATGCCAAATCCAATGGAGACTTTCCGGGCTTCAACAAACGCACTAGGTGACTGCACTTTCACTCATCAGGCACCATTCCATCGTGCTAAGACCTATCAAAAATGTCCAGGAGACAACGCTGCGCCTCCGGGCCTAGGCGACGTAGAGCAGCATAGGTCACTCCATCCGGACCTGGGGGCGATGAGCACCTGCATGTGTTCAATGCTGCATGAAGTTCTTCCATTGTGAATGCCACCTCCATATGCTGATCTCGTGTGACTGTAACGTCCTGTGGCAATAGATCGATCAATATAGAGATGTCTCCGGTGATGTTTGCTCAAAATTCACAAGAAACATCAAGCTGTGAGCGACGTTGGTGTAGCACCAGAGCAGCGAAGGGATCACGCTGTTACGGATGCGAGTGAATACCTCGAAGAGTCCTCCGTACGGGAGACAAAGGCTTTCGAGGGTCGAGCGAGTCACAAAAACGCTTCCATTGTTGTTCCTGGAGTTTGTGCATTCGACGCTAGATTTTTTTCTGAATGCGTCTGTGTTCTCTGAGGTCACACATGGATTTTAAGGGTATGGCGAGTCACAAAGACTCTTCCATCGTTGTTCCTGGAGTTTGTGTATACGACGCTGGATTTTTTTTGCGTCTGGCATCTCTGAGGTCATAGATTTTGCGCGTTTGTATCGTGTTTCGGTACGCCAGCGGACAGCTTGAAGTTGCTCCACCTCTTGGCCGAGTGCGATACGTCTCAATTCTTTCGAGTATATCTTCGGGGAAATCTCCATCGCACAACCAATCACTTCTTCAACGGATTCCGGTGGTTCGTGCATGCACTTACGTTCCATTATATCTGATACTTTTCCCAGTCTTGAGTTTCCTGGGGAAGGATGATCGCCAAGACCCCTGACTGTCACGTACGTGAGGATATGGTCACTGTAGTGGGCTTTGATATCTTTGAACCATTGGACTTTTGTGACAATACTATGCAACACCAATTTCAAGTCCAGGCAACTGCTCTAAGTTACTCCTCAGAGATAAGCCGGGCTGCCGTCGTCGAGCACCTGAGGCCCATGCTGTGATGCGAGATCAAGTAGATTCGTGACCTTTCGATTTGTCCTGATGCTTCCCCACAGTGGATGATGGGCGTTGAAGTCACCCATCAATCTCCGAGGAGCTGGAGTAGTCGAAAATATATACTTTATATCTGTTTATCTAGTAGACGTGATGGTGCTATATAAACGTCAACTTTTTTAACATATGGACACACGTAGTGATATCCATAGTGAGACTCTACTCTTGGGTGAACATAAGTGAGTTCTTCATGGATGTACACATCAACTTGACTTCGGTGAATGCACGATGAAGAGACGAATGATTCATAACCCGACAGTCGGGGTATTTTTGAAAAATGCGGTTGACAAATGACGATGATGGGAAACTGCTGCTATCAGGGTAGCTGCATCGTGATCGTGGTGGGAGACGCCTGTTAGAGTGCCAGTTTTCATTGCCATGGCTCTTGTGTAGTCAGGTAGATGTCCAACCTCCGGTTGGGGAGCTTGAAGCCTGTCGCTAGCCCTATTCTACCTTTGAGCTTTACTGCATTAGCGTTGAAGGTTTCGATGCCGGCTTTTTACTTTTTTCGCTAATTAAAACGGCCCTGCCCGTCCACCACATAATATGGTATCGAGACGTTGACGGAGCAGCACTCAGCCCTTCCAAGATGAAACTGTTTATTTGGCCGAACTTGTGGCCGGCAAATGGAAAGTCAGACAACAGTTATATGCAGTGTACAATGATAGTCATTAACTCAACGTTCGCCGGTGATAAAGTGAGCATCGCTGTAACATGCCGTTTTTATACACTGTACACCAAATTTTTTAGCGTTGTTCCTGGCACTCAAGCTCATTCTGGATAAAACATCACCTTTCGCGTTCTGTGTGTCATCTCAGCAAATTATACGCAAATAATTGATTGATATGTGGAGTTTAACGTTTCAAAACCATCATATGATTACGAGAGACGCGGCAGTGGAGGGCTCCGGAAATTTCGACTACTGGGGTTCTTTAACGTGAACCCAAATCCGAGCACACGGGCCTACAACATTTCCGCCTTCATCGAAAATGCAGCCACCGCAGCCGCGATTCAATTCCACGACCTTCGGGTCAGCAGACGAGTACGTTAGCCACTACACCACCGCGATGGGGCAGTAATCTCAAAGAAGCGTGAAGCTTTCGCGAAATTTTCACGAGACCTGCACAGCGCGTGACAGAGTTTTCGTTGGGGAAAGACCGATCAATATATTGTTTTAAACAAGATACGTGCAGTCCAATGTGATTATGAGATGCGGTGGATCGAAAAGTAGTAGGGTCCCCCCAAATTTAGAATCTAGAATCTTTTAGCGTGTACTTCAATATAAGTATACTGGTCTAAGTAATTCTCGCAGCCGCCATAGCCGTGATTGCATCCTACTACTTCCGTGTGAGCAGTCGCTCACCATGGAAACTAGACTATTGTGGCTAGTGGTTAAATAGAATGAAACTGCATAGCCGGGCTAATTACACTATTACAAATTTGGCCTAATGCATGAATATTGCTATCTCGACCTTTTAAATTACCATTTGCTTGCGGCGTAACAATAGTCAACAAAGGATGACAAACTTTATGACTGAGAAATTATGTTTTTCCAAAATAACCTTATGTAGTGTTCGCTACCCAACTTTTCTTAGTTTTAGGGATTGTTGCACTGGCTTTTAATTCACATTTTTTTCAGTTATTTTTTTATTTTCGTCTATTTCTCGAATTTATAATAAACGTTTTTAGCTTGATATATAAAAGCCATTTGCTTAGCAATTGTACCTAAGAGCAGCCCAATTGTCTTTAGATGCACACATATAAAGTACTTTTTCACATTTCCAATTATTCAGTACATGAATTCAAAAGATATCTACTTGAACCTAATGACACTGGACTGGCCAGACATCAAGTGCATCCGAGCAAAACCCGTGTTGAAGAACAAGACTGCTCAAACTTTGTCACAGACTATCCTTATCAAGATGGCGATCGGGGAGGTCATCATTTGGTGAGCTCTAATAATGAAATATGCCTAACCATTGTCTTTTCAATCCCCTTCAAGTTTATGTGACCAACTTTGTAGTCAAGTTATCTATGAAAGAAAAAAAAAGAAACGCGGGACTCAATGCTTCAAACGTGCGGTGAAAACATGATATCATAATACGAAGATAGTTAGATGAACACTCCAGCTATTTTTACAGTGAACATCAAAGCCTCTTTAAGGCTCCGCATGATTTAGTTGTAGTCACAAAATTGGCTCAAACGTCTTCTATTGAAACGTGAGTAAAAACTGGGCAGCGCTGTTGGCCATTTACGCTAAAGAGGAGGAAAAATGTGCCGACCATCTTCATCGCACGAACTAACCATGGGCGGGACAGTGTGTGAGAATAGCAATTTGGCGAAACGAGCACAACCTGCACATGTCTGGAATCAGCAGTGTTTGCAATGCCCTTGGGCTATAGGTGGCGCAACGTACAATCTAGGACGGCTGCCGAATTAAGAACAACCCGTGAACTCGCATAGGAAAAGATAGGACGCACGGACGTATGCCCCATGCTGCTTTCACCGGATGTACTATTGATCATGAAATGAATGTATATGGCACCAGAGTGCTTTACTGAACGATATTAACTACTAAATATTCACTACCTTCTTTCTTGCCGTAGTGCGAAGGGTGGTAGTTTCAGCTGATTGACCGTGAAGCAACGACCCTTTGTGTAATTCTTCACGTGCTACCAAAAACTGTGCGAACTCGAATTGATGTACGAACTGAACGGCACTCCTAGATTATTTGTGAAAAGCCTGCCTGATGAATTTGCCGAGAAATCGGCCACTAGCGAGTAGCGCGTCATCGCAGCTGCACGGGACCGAATGTACACCATACGATAGTTTGCAAACGTATTACGCCGTCGTCACTATTTGCGCTCTGAGCACCATGAAGTTGGTTATACAACGCAACACAAGCAGTGAACTTCCCATTAGCAAGCACTTGTGGGACAGCCATGATGAGAATCTAACAGTGTGCAATTTACAGCACACGAATGATGCAGTTGTCATCAGCGCGATCACAACAAGCATATCGAAATACACGCGTACGCTTTTCGCGAAGTTGAAATAATGAAAATTCGTTGAACGACAACGTCGTTCGGACGGTACCGGTGAAAGGCGAAAGTTAGCCAAGAGGCGTGGACTTTAGTCGTAACTGCACCTTTCGTTGCTCTAACCTTTTCGCTTTGCTGCGTGAGCTCGAATGTGTTGGCATCATGCGACGCTTCGTAATATCCACTGTATATGGGACACATGCAGTGCGCAAAAACATGCTTTTTGTTTTGAGCTCACTTATGGATTGATTGAATTGTGAGATTTAACGTCCCAAAACCACAATATGAATATGAGAGACGCCGTAGTGCAGGGCTCAGGAAAATCGACCACCTGGGGATTCTTTACCGTGCACCCAAATCTGAGCACACGGGCCTACAAATATTCCGCCTCCATTGAAAATGCAGCCGCTGCAGCCGGGATATGCACCCGCGACCTGCGGGTCAGCAGCCGAGTACTTTAGCCACTAGACCACATTTGCGAGGCTGTTTTGAGCTCACTGAAGGATATTGTACACTAAATACAACCATTGTGGCTTATGAGCGTGAAAAACTTGAACGCACAAAAGACGCGAAATGCAACTCGCTGCTCGTGAATTATAAGCTGATCGTTCACCGCCACTGCCACTAAAAAGTCACAGCTTTGCCGCCAAGGTGAAGCAATGAATGCGATAGCAACAAAGGAGAAAGTCACGCACCCGAATGCAAGCACATCGAAACGTTCACCACATTTCTCACGCACAAATTACGCACAGAACCTACTCACACGTACAGATGAGCGCTAATCAGCGTGTCAGCTGTTGCTTCACTGTGTCTGAAAAGTGTGCCTTTTTGTAAACGGAGACTGTGCAACGATTTCAGTGACCTTTTTGCGTTCAGTAACTAAAAAAAATCCTTCCAGTGAAAGCTGGAGGGCAGCCATGGCGTACGATCCCCCCCCCCCCCCTCTAGATAACCGCAAGCGAGTTAGCGCCCATCACCGTCCTCTCAGCGCGGAAAAAAGGAATTGAAGGAAGGCGTGGTGCTAGAAGACTTGCTGCACTTTTTTTAAGTTTGGAACATTGCCCTTCCTGTTGCCCCGGGTCGGGCACCACTCTGCTTAAGGTGTCACATGCAAGAACATATAGGACGAGACTGCCAGGCTTCCCACACTGGTGGCGACTGTATGGACATGAAAGTCAAGATTACGCCAGGCGTCATGCCAGAGTAACACACACCTCACTGCGAACAGACGACGCCCAAGCAAATTTAATACACTCCGAGGAGGTTGAGAAGTTGGCCTCTGCCCGCAACTTCATGGGATGTGACGCAAACGTTCAGGCGACTGGAGAAGAGACAGACTACGTACCAACGCAAGGTGGCAAGGACTCAACGAAGGAAGCAGATGAGTTGGCTTAAACAGCCGGCCAGCAGGATATTCAGTCAAAGAAGACACGGGCACCAGTGGCGAGATGGGTACACCAAAAGCCAGGGCAAGGTATACGGAAGCGACCGTGAGATGTGGAATGCGCACCCGAGTGGAAAGCACGGAACGTAACCTGAAATGCCCGGAGCGTCTGTGGCATCGCATCGCGGGCTCTATGAGTGAAAAATATGTCCTAGAAACCTGGTCGCTGTCATTGTCATCGGTTCGCGGTTCGGGGACAGAATCAAGACGCGTGAAACCCTGGTTTTCTCACTGCACGGTATACGAGACATGGTAGGCGCAGTATGGTAGTTTCATCCTTATCATCAAAGTGACTAGCATGACTAAGCTTCTACGCATTGGTACTTCTGAATGTATGTGGCCTAGGAGCGCGTCCCAAACAGTACCAGTTGAAATGCCTGATGCACTAAAACGACCTTGACTTGCTCGCGGTCCAGGAGACAAAATTTAGTACTGAGGACGTGACTGATACCTGGGTATCACAATTTTCATTCTAGTGAAATGCATGTACGAGCCATGTGGTGAAACATCAGCTGGATGTATCATTTTTAAATGCGAAGAATTTCTTAGCGAACTTTGAGCGTACTATCTATCTAGCCACCTACGACTTTTAGCTCTCCTGGTAATTTCGATAATGGTATCAATACTAAACTTGGTATAGCGTAACAAGACTGTACGAGCAACATATTCGATTAGTCAGAATACGAAAATCTTAAATTGTATGTCATGAATGTCGTGATTTCATGTCACTGCAGCTCTTCCGGTGATTTTGTTCACATGGCATGGTGCTAAACTGCTGTGGTATGACAAGATTGGGTGGCGAACAAAAGCAACAGACCCTAACATGAAAATCATAATGTGCGACTCATGTAAGAACATGACTACATGCCACGCTCATGATGTGCTCACAGTCGTTTCGCTAGCATCACATATGCCAAATTTGGTATTACGGTACATGAATGGACGAGTAACACATGATACTGGTGCAAACATGATCAACATGAGATGCGTGTCATGTAACAACAGGACTACATACTACGCTCATGATGTGCTCGCGGCCATTTCGCTAGCTTCACATATGCCAAATCTTGTGTTACGTGACGCTAACATACGACATAAGTAAATGACCCAGCCAAACATGATAATCACGACATGCGTGTCATGTAACAACTTGACTACATGCTACACTCACGATGCGCTCGCGGCCATTTTGCTAACTCTATATATACCAAATTTGGTGTTACGTGACGTCAATGGATGATAATTCATTGACGTCACGTAACATGATAATGATAATCCAAACAAGATAATCCTGACACGCATGTCATTTATACGAAAATGACAACATACCACGCAGCGTGCTCGCGGGCGTATCACTAGCTCTACGTACACTAAATTCGGTATCACGTGACGTGAATAGATGACGAAAGTAAACGACAAGTACGAACATAATATTCCTGACACGGAAGGTATGTACGGCATCATTTACCTCCATCTCGTAACGTTGTGCTGATTTTGAAGTGGCATATCAACCTTTCTCATTCGTGCTTCGCATATTATCGATTCCCAGCGTATATGCGGGATCTGCCAATTTTTTTTGTTCACGCACTCTCTTGGATTTGTAGTAGAAGTGATAACTTGCTTACACGAGTGTTTTGTTTTGTGCGACAATTGTTACTGGAACACAAAATTAAAGATAGGTGTGTATAAACACCTATAGATATGAGAGACAGATGTCTTTTTTTTAATTGTAAGCGTGCTTTGAGTGTCAGAGATGTGCGATTCTGTTGGGTGACTTGAATTGTGTTCTCAGCCAAGGTGATCGTACGTATACTGTTAAAGTAAGTGATCAAAGGGTTGAGTTTCTTAGAGATAGCCTTGACAATTTATTTTTGCATTACGTGTTTCTGGTTACGAAGAGTGATTTATACGGGGAGTTTAACAACACAAAACGTTTATGAAGAGTGGTAGTCGCCAACACTTCACACATTTTCAAGGCTCTAGTCACGCACGACCAGATCGACCATATGTTTGATCTGAGAATTGGCAAACGTCAGAGCTATGAAGTTTATGATGTTTCCTTCAGTGATAATTGCTTAGTCTTGTTTAGGATAGAACAAAAGTGAAAAAAGTTGTATAGCAAACACGAAAACTGAATACCAAAACATTTACTCATGAAAAGCTTGGTGATAAGACAAAAAAGGAAATCAAGTATTCTTCAAAACACGCAGAAAGGAGTGCGACGAAAGGATGAGAATCATTTATGCAAAGATAAAAATGATGGCGATTGAGTGTTGTCGCCAGTATCAAGCTCAAAAACAGGAATGCAAGGTCCATGTAGAGCTAAAGTATTTGTTGAAAATTAAAACAGAAAATCCGCTCTTATTTACACATAAACTGCAGGTCACAATTAACAAAATTGAGTGCCTTGAACAGAGTAAATATAAAGGGTCAATTGTGTAAAACATAATGCGCACAAGAGCA